GGGGGGGGCGGGGAACAGGATGCTGCTGTCTTTCTTAAGTGGAAGGGGGATGCAGGGAAAGGAGCTGCCGGGTTTTGGTTTAGGTTTTGGTGTTTTTTTTAGAGGGAGAGAGGGAGTTCTGCTGTGACTGTTATAGGCGGGATGGACAAGAGCACCTACTAGGAGTCAGACCCCCAGAGTTCAGAACTCTGCTCCAAGATGTGCGCTTAATAATAATAGTAATCACTTAGTAATAAGTGGTTATGCTCCCTGACCTTGAGTAAATTACTTAACCTCTCTCTGACTCTGTGCCTCCGTTTCCTTACTTGTCAGACGGGAACAAGAATTCCTTCCTTAGGAGGTTTGCTCGGCGGCTCCTCCCGGGTCAGTGTCCGTTTGGCCCGGGGCCTACCCCCTTCAGAGACTAACCCTGAGCAGTGAGCCCATCACACCCCTCATTCCTGGTCTTGCCCGGCAGTGCCGAGTCCAGCCCCCATCTGTCTTCTGGCATGTGCACCTACACCTGGGAGGTCTCCATCGTTCTTGGCCACTGACCCACCTGTCACCCCTTCCCTACCTGCGCCCTCCTCTTCTTCTAAACTGACTCTCCCCGTGGACTTGACTTTCCTCAGGACTCCCAAGGGGTCCTGCTTGACCGCCACCAAGAAGAGATTGGTAGTTTTGTTCCCTGTAGCTATTTCTGGACCGTTTTCCTCCAATGAGAGCCTTCCTTCTTAGAGGCTCAAGCCACTGGGCTGCTGTGCCTCCTCGTTGCCTGGGTCTGTGCCCCACCCCATTCTCACCAGGCTTCAGGCTTGGCTCACAGTCTTCTCATCCAGATCTTGCTTAACCCCGCGTGACTCTATTATTCAGGAGGATGGCCTTGACCTCTCACCCATGGTCACATTTTTGGGCTTGTCATCACCCCAAATTCCTCCCCACTCAAGGCAGGCTTCCTGTTCTCTGATCTTAATCTCATTCCTTGGCATCCACCATACCCTCCGGCTTGCCAACGTCTCTGCCATGACCCCACCTTCAATGTCATCAATCGCCTTCTCTCAACCAAAGCCTGTCCCTTGATATTTGTCATAATCTGCCTCATCCATCTTGAAAGTCTTTCCATCTTTCCCTTCATATCAAACACCCATGCTACCTCCCTATGCCTCCTTTCTTTTTTTAAATGTTTATATTTTGAGAGAGAGAGAGAGCACTAGCTGAGAAAGGGGGAGGGGTACAGAGGATCCAGGCTCTGTGGTGACAGCAGCAAGCCAATGTGGGGCTTGAACTCAGGAACCCTGAGACCATGACCTGAGCCAAAGTCGGAAGCCCCACTGACTGATCCACCCAGGTGCCCCCCATGTCCCTTCTTTCCTGTCCTCCTAACCCACTTCAGTCGGCTTCTGCCGTCAGCCCCGCCTCACTGGAACACTGTATGCTAAGCCCACCCAATGGCCGCCATGATGCTGAAACCAGTAGGCTTTTTTCAGTCCCATCTTGGTTGGCTTTTCCAGAGTCCGACCATGAAGGTCCTCCCTCCTTGCAACTCTCCGTCCCTTTGCCTTTGGGACACCACCTCTCCTGGGGTTCCCTTGACCTTCTAGTGCTTCTCTTTCACAGGGCACTCCTGAGTTCCCTGAGCCCGGGCCTGAGCCTGCTTCTCTCTTGCTGCTCCCCAGATGACTCCCTTCCATGCCTGCACTGTCTCCACAATGAACACCCTGATCCCTCCCACCAACCTCTCCTCTGCGTCCCAGAGCCGTGCTGTCTCCACACACGCGTCCCAAGGGCACCTCAAGCGAACATGTCCAAAAATGATGTCACGAACCCCCACGTGAGCCTCTCAGTGCCCCCTCCGCAGCAAATGGCCTCACCGTCCAGCATAATCCCCCCTCTGCAAACCACTCTTGATGCCTCCCCCTCCCTCACTGCCAATTTTTAGGATGTTTCCTCCTCTACAGGCCTCAAGACCCTTCTCACTACCTCTGCCTCCACCTGCTGCAGACCTCCGCCATCTCCCCTGGGTCCTGCTACGGCCTCCCAACCAATCCTCCTTCCGCTCCTGCCCCTTTCCAGTCCATTCTCCACTAGGAAGCCAGAGGGACCTTTCCAAAGTGCAGGATCACTCCCCTGACCAAAGCCCTTCAACATCTTTCTTCTTTCATCAGCAACCAGAATTGCTACGCAGACTTCCGGAGTCCCTCCAAGACCTGGATGCTTGCCCGGCAGCCATGCCGGCCTTCCGTAGTTCCTCAACTCTGACTCACCACTATGCCACAGGGCCTTTGCACATGTTCCTCCTGCTTCCCCAGCACTCCCCCCACGCCCTCTCCACACCCCACCTTCTTGTTCCTCCACGGCTGCTACACAGATGTGATTTCCTCAGGGAAGCCTCTCCCACCAGGCCAGGCTCCTAGTTAGTCACGGCCTTTCTTACAGTGGGTGGTTGTACATTCGTGTGTATGGCTGTCAGATTAGCTTCCGTCTCCTTCAACAGACTGTGAGCAACACAAGGGCAGGAGCCTGGTCTCTCTCCACCCACCGTTGTACCTAAGCAGGGTGCCTGGCAGGCAGCAGGCACTCAATAAATATTGGCAAAATGTAGCGAATGAGACAAGTGTAAAGGTACATGATGGGACACAAAGTTGGCTCGTCGTCGTTATTCAGGGAAGGCTTCTTGGAGTGGGTGGGATTTGGGCAGGCCCTGGAGAGGGAGGGGCAGAGCCAAAGCTCACTGGCCAGGCAGGTCTGGACAAGCCATGCCTTCTGCTGGCGCCTCATTTCTCATTTGTAAAA